ATATTTGAAAATCAGAATTACAGAAAGAGGGAGAGATACAGAGAGATTTTCCTTCCCCTGGTTCATTCCCCAAAATGGCCAAAACTGGGCCAGGTGGAAGCCAAGAGCCAGATGTTCCATCTGGGTTTCCCACACAGGTGCAAGGGCCCACGCACTTGGACCATCCTCTGTTGCTTTCCCAGATGCATTAACAGAGAGTTGGATCAGAAGTAGAGCAAATGGGATTCAAGTTAGTATCCATATGGGAATGCCTGTGTCATAGGTGGTGGCTTAACCCTCTATGTCACAATGTCAGCCTCCAGATCTTTAACAGATACTTAAGAATGAAAGAGAACTTATAATCATCTGATGTTTTCCCACTATTTGCAGATGAAAAACTGAACTCCAGTGGGTTGATTTTTTTCCAAATCACACCATTATGTCATAATCTAGATTCCAAATGTCTAGCTTGCTGTTCACAATACATTGCAATAGTTGATATTTTGTATTGACCTGTGGGTCTTCCTTAGCTTAGAAGAGATAGTACCAAGGGTGAAAATCAAATCTGTTCATATAGACTGAATCATTGTTTCTAGACTTAAAATAAAACACACACACACACACACCTGCAAATTCTTCACACACATTCAAAGAAACTTAAGCTTCTTCCCCACCCAAAATTGCTTTTGCTTTTAAAAAAGATTTTATTTCTTTTTCTTGGAAAGATAGGTTTACAGAGAGAAGGAGATACAGAGGGATAAAGATTTTTTGTCCACTGGTTTGCTCGCCAAGTGGCCACAACAGCCATAGCTGAGAAAATCCAAAGTCAGGAGCCAGGAGCTTCTTCTGGGTCCCCCACACAGGTGCAGGGTCCCAAAGCTTTGGGCTGTCCTTTCCCAGGCCACAAGCAGGGAGCTGGATGGGAAGCGAGGCAGTTGGGACATGAACTGACGCCTTTATGGGATCTTGTTAGTTGCAAGGTGAGGACTTCAGCCAATGAGTCGTCGAAGCCCACTCACATGCCCCTTGCCCCCACAACTTGTTAACAGTCCTGCCACCAACTCTGCCCAGAGGCCTGGGGACTGCGAAGCCTTTCTCCTCCTCATCCTACTGTGGTTTTTGTTTTCTTCAGCATAGATGACTCACAGGCCTCCTTTCTGGGGCACTGGTTGAGCGGCGGAAATTAGAAAAGTTTATTAGTCAGGGCCCACCAATCCACCACAGCAAGGAGCCTGAAATGAACTGAGGAGTTAAAGACGTAAGAACAACTCTGACGGGCAGTGCAGAAATACCCCCTTGAACTTGTATAAACTTGCCTGTTCAGCAGAAAGAAAGGGAAGCCTGGAGGAAACATTTTCTCTCTGATTTCTTCCAAATGAGCACACTGGAGCTTTGGAAGAAAAATTTGTATAGTTACCCAACTAGTTAGTAGCAGGGCTGGGACGAAGCTCGGTCCCCTACCTCCAAGACAGCCAACTGTTCCACATTCTAGAACATGGCATATAGCAAAGACACATTGGCACCTAGCAAAAACACATCTAAGCCTCAGAAATAAAATGGAAATTTCCCATAATCTGCTTCTGCTAATTGTGTATATTTGTGAGTTTGCCACGTGCACATGATGTTTGTACCTCTAGGTACATTATAGAAAGATTCCATCAAGCTAACTAACATAGCCATCACCCTACCAACTTGGCATGCTTTTGTGATGAGAATTTTTTTCTTTTGGTTGTTAAGATTTATGGAAAGGCAAATATACAGAGAGAGGGAGATCCAGAGAGAAAGGAGCTTCTTCTGGGTCTCCCACACGGGTGTAGGCTCCCAAGGCTTTGAGCTGTCCTTAGCTGCTTTTCCAGGCCACAAGCAGGGAGCTGGATGGGAAGTGGAAGCAGGGCGGCCGGGACTAGAACTGGCGCCTATATGGAATCCTGGTGCATGCAAGGTGAGGACTTAAGCCACTAGACTACCGTGCTGGACCCTGTGATGAGAATGTTCAACATCTGTCTTAGCAAATTTAAAATACACAATAGGTGAACAGGGTCACCATTCCCCACAAATAGATCACCAGAAGGGGTTCTTCCAGTCTAAGAGAAGCTTGATCATGTGCGGTTAGCATTTTCCCTTTCCTACAATCATCCCCCTACCAGCAATATATATATTCATTTTTGTTTGTATTTTTGCATCCTTGGTTTCTTTCCACCTTCCCTCTCCCTCCGACTGCGCTTTCACTCAAATCCTGCCCTTGCTTGCCTGAGCTACTGTGTTTCCTGCCAAAGGCTTCAGGCCTCTCTCCTGGGTGACCTTTGTGGAAAAGAACAGTCCAAATGTTGATGCGTGAGGTGCAGACCCACCCTCCTCGTCTATCCAGTCAATCAGCACGAGCCCCTGGGCCCCCTGAGGGCTGTTAACCAATCCTAAGAAAGAAAAGATCAATCTCATCTCTCCGTCACCACTGTGCAGCGAAGCTGCCAACCAGTCAGAATCTGCCACTGGCAGTCATTAGAAACGCTGGCCAATCAGGCCACCCTTGTTACATGGCCTGGTAGAGAAAGGGAGGGTTGATTAGAAAGGTTAGTTCTGGTTCCACACCCTTTCCATCCTGGACTGCAGTCAAAGCAGGGAAGCCAGACCCTTCTATTCAAGGCTCACGGTGAAGAAGATTCTAGACGCTCATCTACTCTTGGCTCGGCTTTTATTATCTTCAACTTCACCCCTTCCTCATATTGCTCTGTCCAATCTTTACAGTCTGCTCTCTTCCATCCAACTTCTTGCTTCAAACCTTGCAGGAAAGCCCTTGCAGTCCCCACTCTCAGCCTCCCCGCAGATCGCTATCTCTCCACGCTATCTTGTTTTGCGTGATTCATGTGGCCACTGAGAAAAGTTTTGAGATGGTTATCCAGGGAATCCCACTGCAAGAATCTTGCAGTAAACAGTCTCTAGGGAGTCGTGTAGACTTGAGTTGTGACGTGCCTAACTGTAATATTACAAGGATGATGGCAAAGATGATAACATTTTAAAATTCTGACTGGGTACCCAGCACCTTGTTTAAAGCTTCGCACATATTATCTCAACATTAGCTGTGGGGTGCGCCCTGGTAGCATTCTCCAGAGGAGAGAGAGTTGGTCCAAAGGAATTAAAACAGGTGGTCCATGGGCACAGCGATGGCGACCCGTTTTATCTGAATCCGGAGCCTACCACCCTGTTAGGGCTGTGTAGTCTCTCTAGGGAGTAGCCGGCGTCAGATTTCGCTCAGGCCTCCTCGGGTGGGCCGCGGAGCCGCCGGCGACAGCGTCTTACCGCCTCCTCTCACTCCAAGCTCCCCCCGGAAAAGCCGCAGCGGCCATTGGGCGGGGACGGTGGCGGCGGGCGGCGGAGGAGGAGCCGGATGGAGCCGGTCCTGCAGGGCTGACCTTGGCCGGCCTCGCCCGAGCCCCGGGCCGCCTACGTGGTCAAAGACCTGTTGCTTCGTCCCGAGGATCCCAGGACCAGTCCTGCCCGCCTGCCCCCCGCGCCCCCGGCCACAGATTTGAGGATTTCTGAGGGGGGGAAGCTGTGGCTCGCGGATCTCGGGAAGGCCCCCCCACACCCAGCCCGGCCTCTCCTTCCCGCCCGCTTCTCTCCGGCTTCTCCTCGCCCGCTCTTTCTTCCCCTCCCTTTCAGGAGCTCAGGGCCATAAAAATGCAGATGGAGGATAGGTGTGAAATAACGGGCCCATATAAATCCCTCTGCCGCCCGCCTGCAAGATGGATTGACCGCATTGAAATTCCTCCGCGAGGATAATTAAACTCGGGGCCTCATCCGGGCAAAATTACATTCCTGTAATGGCGTCGCTCGGGGTCCCGGGAAATTGCTCCGTGGGCTTTCAGCGGCGGTTTTTATCGCCGGCCGGGGTGTGCCTGGCTGCGGCTCGCCTCTCCTCCGGGACCGTAAAGCTGCTGCCATGATTTATCCTCCCCTTCTCCCAAATCCGATTAAATGGAGGAGCTCGGGGCCGGGGCGCCGCGGGGCCCGGGAGCCGGGAGGGGGCGGCGGGAAGGACGGGGCCAAGGAGGGGAGGACAAACGGCCCCTCAGAGGGTGGCAGATTTGGCTTTATTTACAGCCGCGGCTTTTTTTTTTCCCTTTAATGGTGAGTTTTTCCTCCACGTCTTTTCTCGCGCCACGTACCAGCGCAATGCCCGGATGGCTAGGTTTGGAAACGGGCAGGCCTACCAAGCGCTGCCCAGAGCCTGGCTGGGGGTGGACAAAGAGGCCGTGGGAGAAGACGTGCTGGCCGGGAACCCTCACGCTCCGCTCCTCCGGGCACGGAAGGGGCAGGGCGGACGGCTTCGGCTGCTTTCTGCCGGGCATCTCATGGGGATGCTGCCTGGTCAGCCCCGCTCGCACAGGTGACCCTGGGCAGGGGGCCAGCGTGAGCACGTGACCTTACTGCTTAGCCCTACGTGGATCATATTTAGCCTCCTGGGGTTTTCTCAAGGCTTGGCAGCCTTTTTTAATGGAAAAGAAGGGGAAGTCACCAGAAGCGGCTGAGGCATTTTTCTAACTATTCTCCCAATGGCCTGTTTCCTATCCAGCCATACCCAGAGTCCAGGGGTGACAGCTGATCAGGAATCCCAATGCCTTCGTTTCCCTCCTGCTACATTTTAAGTATTTTGAATCCCCTATTCTGATCGTATGCTATGTACCACTAAATTCCTGAGTGGTGTTGTGGGATTATGGCAACGTGACTGCGCATGCCTGGGAAGGGAACGTCAGTCCAAGATTCCAAACGCTGTTGCAGACCAACCCCGCAGGCCACGCCGCGAATGGGCCTGGTTTTCTGTCCTCGCTCGGCGCCTCCTGTACTTCCTCCTCTTCAACGCCAGGTGGCGCGACTGGCCGGCTGGGCGCCGCGGAGCCGGCAGGCGGCGCTGTGGCGCCTGGGCCGAGCCTCAACGTCGCCAGCCCGCTCTATCCGCGGCCGTTGGCGGGGAGGACGCCTCGTTGGCTCGGGCCGCGCACGCGCACAGCCACGCCGTGCGCTCTTCGCGCCCTCCCCCGCCCCTCTCTGTCTTCTCTGCCCCGGGAACAGGTAAGGCCTGGCGACCTCGTGGCCGTCGCTGCTCCGCGCACGCGCGTGGGCCGCCCTGGCCCGCGCGGACGCTTTGGGGCCCTTTCCCCGTGCCGACTGCCACCCCGGGTCCCGGGCCCGCCCGCTGTGGCCGCGCCGTGCAGCTGCCCCCGTCCGCTTGCCGGCGACCTCCCGGCGCGGGCCTGGCGCCATCTTGGGTGGCTCGCGGCGGGGCTGGCTGCAGTCACATCGGGGAGTGTCCCTTTTGGGTTTTTTTTTTTTTTCCCATCTCCTGTTCCAACCCAGTCCCCACAGACGCTGTTTTCTCTCGCCTTCCTGGCCTCACAATTGTCACAACTCCCAGGCTGTCCCCTCTCCACTTCCTTCTCCCGGCCTGACACGTGGTTTTATTTTGAATCCATATTTGCCAGCCAGGCCTCAGGGGCTCGGAGCAATGAAGGTAGCTGATTATCTCGAGTGACCGTTGCCTCTAAGTTTGAAAAGTAAAGGGGTCAGCGTGGTAGAAGCGAACCGCCAGAGCACCCCGTGCTGCACGTGGCGACAGGGGTCAGCTAGGGCGGGGAGATGGGCCTGGGCCTTTGTCACCGTTGCCCTCCCTGGCGCTCAGGTGAAGCCGGAGCAGGCCGACAGGTGGGCTAGGTAAGGGCTTCTGTTGCCGGCAGCGGATGCTCCTGCTAAGCTGCGGTTTCAAAGCCAGGCTGGGTGGGACCCACTCACGAGTTTGCACCTGCCAGCTTTCCTGACCGGGTGTCATCGGCAGGAAAAGAAGAGTTGCACCCGGGAATAGTTAAGACAGCAACCCCGTACCTCGCTGACACACTAAGAACGCCCAGGATGATTGAGGGAGGGGCTCGCTCTCATACTCTGGCGCCCTTGCCCGAAGTGTGGCTTAACCATCATGGACTGCTCCTGGTTAGACTAACGGAGGCAGATAGACGAACTGCAGGCTACTTTAATTGCTGCTTTCTGTTAGCGGTTTATTACATTGCTAGCACATGAAAATTTTACATTTTTTTTTTTTCCTGAAAGGAAGACTTAAAGAGCGAGCGCTTCGATCTACTGGTTCACTCCCCAAACGGCTGCAAAGGCCAGAGCTGAGCTAATTCAAAGCCAGGCACTTCATCCAGGTCTCCCATGTAGGTTCAGGGTCCCAAGAACCTGGGGCAGCCTCTGCTGCTTTCCCAGGTCATAAGCAGGGAGTTGGGTTGGAAATAGAGCAGTCAGCTCTAAAACCAGTGCCCCTATGGGATTCCAGTGCCTGCAGGTGGAGGATTAGCTTTTTGAGTCACCATGCTGGCCTTTTTACATGTTGATTTTTAGGCTCCCCCCCCCCAACTACTTTTTTTTTCAAACAAGTGATGTTAAGTGTGAATCTCCTGGGAAAGAAAGTCATCCTTGGTATACAAACTGTACTGTACTAGCAAGAGAATTGGATTTTGACCCAAGAAAACTCAAGTGGTGAGGCAGCAGAATTGAATTTGCTTTACGTAGCTACACGGAAGTCGGGTCTGGATCAGATCAGAATTGAAAGTAAGACGTTGGATTCCTAAATGTTATAAGCTGGAACAGTCTGAGTCCATTTCATTGAGGGGAGTGGCATTTTACAAGCCTTCCGTTTCACTGAGTAGTTCAGCCTGTGGCATGTTAGCATGTAACTTGAGAGAAAGATTTGGTGTTAAGGGGCAGGCACTGGGGCCTAGCCATGAAGCCACCTGCTGGAACACCCTGGGTTGGAAGTGTTGGATTTTAAGTCCCAATTCCAGCTTCCTGCTAACATGCATCCCGGGGGTCTGGCAGACTCAAGCATTCGGGGCTCTGCCATTTTGTGTTGGGGACCTGACTGGAGTTTCAGTCGCCTGGCTTCAGCCCCAGCAGTTGGGAGCATTTGGGAGTGAGCCAGTAGCTGGTTAGTTCTGTCAGTACTCCTCAACTGTATTGAATAAAAATCACCTTTAAAGATCATGTTCTAAGGTTTACCTTACTGTAAGTTACATATCAGTATCTAAGATAGTTTATTTGGAAAATGTATATGAAATACAGGACACAAGACCTCCAGAGATCTTGACCTATGAAATTCTACTCCTGGTGGGCATCTCATTTCACTTGGAGTCCTCCCCCTCCCACTCCCCTGCCTTTAGGTCTTTAACTCACTATTTTCTGTTGTAAGCTCAGTTCTACCCATTTAGGGTACTGCCAGGTATGAGGGCTTTTTTAGGTCTTGGGGCTACAAAGTTTAATTCCTCTTTAGTGTGAAAACACTTTAATAGTCATTGCTAATTAGAGTGATGGCAGAGTTCCTCGTTTATCTTACCTTGTTAATTAGTTTAGGAAACTCAAGTGTTTTGAGGAACCAGATACTTTCAGGTAATTCAGTGAGAAAATGCAAAGCCCCGCCCGAGCATTGGCAGGGAAATGAATAGTGCTGAGGCTGGCGCCAGGTGACACCTCGCGCAGACCAAACGATGTCACTCGGTTATAAGGGAATTGCAGGAGCTTTGTGAGGTGTCTGGAGAAAACCATGACCCGAGGGTTCCCGTTCCATCTCTCCAGCTAACAGTTCTTGGCTCCTGGGCCAGTTAAGCTTTACTAGAGCTGCTGGTGAGGATGAAGTGGGACGAGCGAGGACCTGGTTGACGAGACTTGATTTTGTCATTCCAGCTTGTGTGCTACAGCCCCTGCGCCCCGACAATGTATGCCTGCTCCAAGCTCGTCTCCACTCCTTGCCTGGTGAGTACCTGCTGGATCTGGGAGGGTTTTCAAGAAAATGAGTCTTCCCTCTTCGCTGCCATCTCAGCTTGGCTGTTGGAGGATTAAGGAATGCATGGGATGGGATAACCCTTTGCTTGGTGGGCAGCCTGGCAGGAGGGAAGGTGGTCATGCCAAGTGCTCCCTGCCCCATATCCCCTGTAGGCTGCTTAATTCTCATCACGAGAACCCAGGCTGCATTGGTCAGTAGAAAATTGATGACAGAACTTGGACCTGGTATGCACTTCATGTACACAGACTCTTAAAAAATGTGGCCACAACGGCTGGAACTAAACAGATCCGGAGTCAGGAGCTTCTTCCAGATCTCCCATGTGGGTGCAGGGTCCCAAGGGGCCACCTTCTACTGCCTTCCCAAGCTACAAGCAGGAAAGTGGAGCAGCCGGGATTAGAACCAGCGCCCATATGGGATCCTGGTGCTTGCAAGGCGAGGACTTCAGCCACTAGGCTATCATACCGGGCCCAGATACACAGACTCTTGTCCTGAATGAGAAGCTTAAATACACATTGGGAAAGTGTTGGACTCCAAAGCAAGAACATTAGAAAATTCTGTATGGTCAAGGCAGTTGGTTCATCCTAAGTAAAAAAAACAAGGGGGTGGGGTGCTGTTAGTGGTTATTGTTTATTGAGCACCTGCCACAGGCCTGGCACCGAGTTTACCTTTTTGTATACACATCTCACTTCTCCAGTCAGCGCTGCTGGAGGATTTCCATTTGATGGGAGAACAGGCTTAGGAAGATTGACATGCCTTACCCCGAGGTCACACAGCTGCTCCCAAATTCAGATCTGACTCTGGATCTCTGGTTTCTGAGGCCAGGTTGTTAACCATGCTGTTTTGGAGGTGCTGGTGTGGGGTTAAGTCAAAAGGGCTGCCAGGGTGGGAGTGGCCCACTTCTTGCCTTGCCTTCTGAGCTGCCCGTTACCATTGTGTATCATCTGGTGAAGCAGTACTTCTGTCCTTCCCAAGGGCAGTGGCAGGATACAGCAGAGTGACTTTGGTTAAAGTAAAGCATGTCAAGCAAGGGAATGGTGAAGGTTCTTGAATCCAGAGTATGCTAAAAGTAAAAATGGGCAATCCACGATTCTAAATTTGAGACAACAGGAGGGGTGCCAAAAGAGGGGAAGATCCTATTTGGTGTTGGAACAACTTTCTCAAGCTCTTCTTCACAGCCATTCTTGACCTTCCTGCTTCTGTCATTCCCACCAGGTCAGGAGCGCCTCCCAGCTGCTGAGCCGCCCGCTGTCTTCCGTGGTGCTCAAGAGACCAGAGACGCTGACAGATGAGGTACCTTAGCCTGAGTGCAGTGGGAAATGTGGCTTTGGCTGGTGAGCGATCAGGAGGGTTACCTGCCAGAACCAGTAGGGGGAGTACCTGCCGAGGCCAGTCATCTCAGACTAAAATTAGTGTGAGCTCAAGGTCATTGGCTGTGGGTGGAGATCCTAGACAGTTAATAGGGCTTACAGACCTTGCAGCACCCATGTCCACACATGTGCTGCTGCTGACTGCCCTAGGGGACCTAGTCAGTCTGGGGACTGATGTGTGCTGGTAGTATCAGGTCCCAGGAATGTGACCTCCATGAGATACCAGGAACAGGCAGGACCTCATCCTTCACTTGCCCCTCACCCCTGAGCCTTGATGGCATTTGAAATCTACTTTGTACAATAAAAGGTTGTGTTTGCCAGTGAGGTAAACAGTTTGCTATTTCTGGTAGAAACCCTGGGATTTGGCGGCATAGAAGGCTTAAACTGCACAGAAGTTCCCAAACTGAAAAAGGGTTCCCAGGGAACATGACCTCTACCTGCCTCTTCACAGCGCCTGAGCAGCGTGGCAGTCCCGTGTCCCCGGACCTCGCTCCTCCCGAGCCGCAGCTTCCAAACCAGCATCGTCTCAAGGGACATTGACACAGCAGCCAAGTTCATTGGGGCTGGGGCTGCCACGGTTGGGGTGGCTGGCTCTGGGGCTGGGATTGGGACTGTGTTTGGGAGCCTCATCATTGGTTATGCCAGGTAAGAGGAGTTGTACCTTCATTGCTCTCTGATGAACTTTGCCGGTGTCTGGGCAGAAATATTTGGGGTCTAGAGCCACATTATCCTTTATAGCAGCTACATGTGAGCATTGTGGATTTGAATTAGAATTAATTAAGCACGCATAGAGTTTAGGTCTCTAGTTCCTCAATCACACTGACCATATTTCCAGTGCTCAGTAAGCCAGTGTGGTTAGAGACAGCAATGGTAGCAGTACAGGGAGTTACTGACGTCACTGCAGAACGTTTTATTGAGCTTTCAGTTGGGTCTACAGCAGAGACTGGCAGAGCAAAGCCTGAGGGCCAGATGTGGGCCAAGGCCTAGTTTTGTATGGTTGAGCTAAGAATGGTTTCTGCATTTTTAAAAAGTCAGTTTAATTTTATAGTGGCTAAAACATTTTGAATGTGCTCTCCACAAATGTTTGCCCTGATCATTACATGAAGTATACATGTAGCAATGCCATTGTCTCCCATCAGTCTGTAGAATTAAATGTGAATTAAAAATAAAACCAAATCTACAGACCATAAATGGCCCCAAAAGCCTCAGATGCTCTGATCTGGAGCCACAGGCTGCTGTACCTCTCTCAGGGAGATACCCTGGCACTGGTGGGAAAACTGCCTCTGCAGCCAGCACTGTTGGTCCTTGGCCCCAAGAATTGTCTGGTCCCCAGTGGCCCTGTTAGAACTACATTAATCCCTTTAGACCTGCACATTCTCCTAATGTCTTTGGAGAAATAGGGTTGAACAAGAAACCCGACTGCATCTGTCCCATAGTTCTGTTAGAAGCTGGTGCTGTATTGCCTTACCCATCCTGACACACAGAAGGGGGACTGCAAATTGTATATTGACTGTCGGCATCAGGAGTCCCCCATCCCGTGTTGACTGCTGTCATAGACCCCACAGGCCGTTGTTTAGTTTCTTAAAGCCCTGAATCCTTAGAGGGTTTTGAAATGAGAGAAGGTGGTCTCTGATTCTCTTGGGGTCTGGAACAGTGAATGGTTCTCTGTGTCCTCTAAAGCCTTAGGAACGTGAGGTCGTGCCCCAAGACTCCTAGGGAACCAAGGGGGAGACCCCAGTGTAGGTTGGCATTCTACTGTTTGACTCACTGCTCTGGGTTGAGCTGGTCACTCTGAATGTTCTTCTGTCCTGTTGGGGCCTTCATATTAAGTGGCTAGGCCCACAAGTCGCAAGTTATGGTAATGATATTGGTGCACTGGCAAAATACTACATGCACTTGGCCATGTGACAGGATTTTTATATCGTCCACTTCCCCTACTCCCAGAAGAGCCCTTGGTGTATCAGGGCATGATGACGTCACCCCCAAAAGTTCACATCAGATAAGTGTGACAAGGAGAATTTACTCAGAGCCACCTCATGGGTGCCCCTTAAGTAGACTGGAAATTCAGTCTCTTCTCTCCCTCTCCCAGGAACCCTTCTCTGAAGCAGCAGCTCTTTTCCTACGCAATTCTGGGCTTCGCCCTCTCCGAGGCCATGGGGCTTTTCTGCCTGATGGTGGCCTTCCTCATCCTCTTCGCCATGTGAAGGAGCCTTCTCCACCTCTGATCATTCGTTCTCCCGCACCACATCTGCCCTGGACGTGCTGCTTCCTGTACTTTCCCAGGCGACCAGGGGAAAGTGGTTGGCTCAGGGCTGACAGAGGGAAGACAAATAAATACTGTATTATAAGATGTTTCTTGGGTCTCTAGTGTATTTTTCTTTCCTACCACTGTTGGCTGAGTGCATCAGAGTCTGAGGCCTGGGGGTGGCGATGGTTCTAGACTCCACGTGGGTCTGCTATCTTCACCTATACTTACATCCATGTTTCAGGAAAAATGCATTCAAAATAGCACTCCCTGTGAAGGAGCGTCACCTGGCCCTGTCTGCTGCTTGCCATGGGACACTGGGATCAGTAGTAGCTACAGTGCTGGCTTAGAATGTTGAGCAGTGGGCTGCCCCCTGTTGTCCTAGGCACTCACTGTCACCTGTGGGGATGTAGCTCAGTCACCTCTCTTATTTTTTCTTAAGATTTATTTTTTTGTTTGAAAGGCAGAGCCACAGAGATGAGACAGTTTCTATCCACTGGCTCACTCCCTGGATGGTCAACCTCCAGAGCTGAGCTGATTCAAAGCCAGGAACTCCCTCCAGGTCTCCCATGTGGGTTCAGAAGCCCAAGGACCTGAACCATCCTCCGCTGCTGTCCTAGGTCATAAGCAAGGAGCTGGCTCAGAAGTGGAGCAGCCACCAGAGTCGTTATGGACTGCTAGCCCACCACACCATGGTGCCAGCCCTTCGAGCAGTAACTTAATTGACTTCTTGTCTAACATTTCTAGCCATCACTGCCAGGTGAATCTTCCTTCCATATAGGACTGGTTTTGTCATCTGGCATTGGCTTTCTCAGCTTTATTATCTCCCTACTCGACCCAAAATGGCCTGTGCCTCTATCTGTGCTTTCCTTTCCCCAGTTGGCTCTCTTGCCAGCTCTGTTACTCTGATTTACCTTTAAGGCTGTCAATCTGAAATTTTCTGCCCTCCATCCACCCCGTCAGCTGAGCATTAATCCTCTAAATGACTGTAGAGCACGTATCTCCTTTTTATGAACAATTAGGGTCCATGGTAAATTGTGAATGGGAATGCACAGGACACTCGTCCAAGTTACCCTGTCAAGTCTTGAGGCGGTGTTTGGAAGCAGCCCTGCCTGCTGTCACACATTAATTACTATTAGAAGAAACACAGCCTCTTCAGAGTACATCTTCCCATACAGAAAAAGGGTCTGAGTGTGTGAAGTTAAAGTGGGGCAAAACAAGTGTCGGAATGTGGTAGGAGCAAGGAGATTCCACTGAGCATGTGCCTTGGCGCACCATGTCTACATCACGTGTCCCAGGATGGCTGCTGAGATGTCATCGGAGGTATGTCCTTTAACATGATAACAAGCTACGAGGCAGCTGTGCAGGCTTCACTTAGAAGGTTCGATGCAGCCAGTTAGGTCTGTGTTTATCTTGGACTCTAAAAAAAACAGCTCAGCAAATTTTTAGCAGCATCAAACTCTCATGGGATGGCAACTGTGCAACAGGTGGGCTGTCTGTCATGCCGTTCAGGGAAGCTTGCTGTTAAGCACGGGGTTTCATCTGGAACTGTCCTGTTCAGCCCTTGTATCCCTAAAAATACAGCAAGTGCTCAGTCTTACTCTGTTTCAACCCCATCACTTCACAAAGACTGAGAGGTTAAATGATTTCAAAGGCTTCACCGGCAATGATCAATTAGGGGGGCCAGGTCAGCTCTTACCCAATAGAGTAAGACTACTGAAGTGACTGGAGATACAAATTCATGTTCTTTCCAAAATGATAAAGCAGATTAGCACAGAAGCTTTAGCGCTGGTTTATTTATTTACTTACTTAGTTACTTACTTTAAGTTTTTTAAATTTATTTTTATCACAAAGTCAAATATACAGAGGAGGAGAGTCAGAGAGGAAGATCCTCCATCCACTGATTCACTCCTGCAATGGCCAGTGCTGCGCCAATCTGAAGCCAGGAGCCAGGAACTTCTTTCAGGTCTCTCATGTGGGTGCAGGGTCCCAAGGATTTGGGCCATCCTCAACTGCTTTCCCAGGCTACAAGCAGGGAGCTGGATGGGAAGTGGAGCTGCTGGGATTAGAACCCACGCCCCCATAAGGGATCCTGGTGCATTCAAGGTGAGGACTTTAGCCACTACGCCACCGCACCGGGCTCTACTGTTGGTTTATTAAATAACTAAAATCCCAAGGGAGGTACTAAACCCCAGGTAGACTGAAGCTGAGGAGACAGGGTGCTCCAGATCTTTCACCCCTGTTTGCCCTTTACCAGCTGGGGATGAGGGTGAGGGGGATCTATCCAGTTACCACACCATCCTCAACTGCTGTCTGAGCTGTGGGCCACACAGAACAGGTCCAGACACCTGGTGTCCTCACTCCCTGAATGAGCAGAAATGAAAACACCGGAAGATCTTTTAGTCCTCAGGCAATTCTTCAAATAATTTTGGAGCATCTGATTTCAAACCCCTGTGAACATGAGTACCTTGGGCCTCAAGCGGTCATTTTAGAAACAGCAGGAGACAGTTTGGATCGACTGCTAGGCAAGAGCTTAGGCCTCTTGGGCCAGCTGCTTGGCATCTCTTAAGAGTCAGTGGTTGGAGAGGGTTTATTCTTAGTTGCTTCCCTCTCCTAAAGTAATTTCCTCAGATTTTCAGTAAGTGCTGTCATAAGCAGAATTTTTCAGGATCTTTTTTTTTTTAAGGATGCCCTAATGGAATCCTCAGAGCCTATGGATTTGTTGTCACTGCCCTGGTTAGGGTAGATGACAGTGTGGATTTTATTTTATTTTTTACTATGTATATTTTATTGGAAAGTCAGATTTATAGAGAGGAGAGACAGACAGAAAGATCTGTCCGCTGGTTCACTTCCCAGGTAGCCACAATGGCCAGAGCTGAGCCGATCCGAAGCCAGGAGCCAGGAATTTCCTCCAGGTCTGCCACGCGGGTGCAGGGTCCCAAGGCTTTGGGCTGTCCTCGACTGCTTTCCCAGGCCACAAGCAGGGAGCTGGATGGAAAATGGAGCAGCTGGATACGAACTGGCACCCATATGAGATCCCAGATGTGCAAGGTGAGGACTGTAGCATCTAGGCTACCACACTGGGCCTGACACTGTGAATTTTAAAATGGAGGATATCGGAGTGGATCTGATCCAAACCCATGAACTGTTTAAAAATAAATAAACAAAAAAAACCTGCTTTTTCAGGCTGGTAGCAGAACAGAACAAAGGAGTTAATGTGCCATTGCTGACTTTGAAGATGAAGGGGACCATTTGCTAGCAGCAGAAAGTGGCCTGTGACAGCTGACAGTGATCAAGAATCTTGGTCAGCAGCAGGAAGGTAACAGACTTCAATGCTACAACTACAAGGGAAGTAGGGGAGAAGGAGTTAATTATCCCAGAGCCTTACCTTCTATCTAAACATAGGCACGCATGTATGGTGCACAAAGTAGTGAAGTTTATGTGAAAAGAAAGAAAGCAGACACACACACACACACACACACACACACACACACACACACACACACACACACACACAGAGTCATAGCTGAGGAGTAGAGTGGACCAGAAAGAGAAAAGGGGAGAGGAGGAAAGAGAGAGAGCCTCTTTAACACCTTGTGTCATCCCAAGCAGGGAGACCACCAAGATCCCATACAGGTGCCAATTTGTGTCCCGGCTGCCCCACTTCCCATCCAGCTCCCTGCTTGTGTCCTGGGAGTGCAGGGGAGGATGGCCCAGGGCCTTGGGACTGCACCTATGTGTGAGACCCAGAAGTTCCTGGCTCCTGGCTTCAGATTGGCTCAGCACCATCTGTTGCAACCACTTAGAGAGTAAGCCAGCAGATGGAGGATCTTTCTCTCTGTCTCTCCTCTGTAAACCTGCTTTTCCAATAAAAATAAATATTTATAAATAAATAAACAAAAAGAATAGCTAGAACTCAAATTGACACCCACATGGGATACCAGTACCACAGCTGAAGACTTAGCATCCTATACCACAGTACCAGCCCTAAGAGTGAGAATTTGTTTTCAACAACAACAACAACAAAAACCAGAAAGCTGGGGCCAGTGTTGTAGTGCAACAGATTAGGCAGCCGCCTGCAGTGCCAGCATTCCAAATACGAGCACCAGTTCAAATGTTATAATCCAGCTCCCTGCTAATGTACCTGGGAAAGCAGCAGAAAATAGTCCAAATTTCAAGCACTTTTAAAAAAATATTTATTTAATTTATTTGAAAGGTAGAGTTGCAGAGAAAGAGAAAGACAGCTGCCATCCCCTGGCTCCCTCCCCAAATGCCTGCAACAGCCAGAGCTGGGCCAGGCTGAAACCAGGAGCCGAGAACTCCATCAAGGCCTCCCACAGGGGTGGGTGGTAGGAACCCAAGCACTTGAACCATCACTCATGCCTACCGTGGAGGCACTGTAGAGTAAGATGGCATGAAGTAGAGGCAGGCCTCCATCCCAGAGACTCCAATTTGGAATGAGGGCCTCCTTCCCAGTTCCGGTTGAAGGGTTGAAGGCACCACAGCACCACGCCTGCCAACCTGAACCTTGTTTTAACAGACGAGAGAACTAAGATTCCAATTCACTAGTTCTTCAGGTTCTCTAGGTAGAAAGAGATGGAACAGCAACCCTGGGCTGACACTGCAGTTGGGGACCGGGATATGGCTGGAGCAGGCGAGCCAAGTGGCCCGTTGTTGAGATCTCCCAGGGAAGGGGATTGATGCACTGCTCTTACAGTGACTCTATCCCTCCTGCTATCTTGCCAATAGGTAGCATTTTGCTTCCCCCATCCCCCCCACCGCCTTGCCAACCGGGGTTCATTTTACCCACTGCTATTTCCTCCCATTCCTGCGTAGGCTCAGCTTTGTTGGCTCAGCTTTGTGCCCAAGATGGATATTTTTAACCATGGTGGATTACAGCCTTCCAGGAACTGTGTAGTGTAGCTGCTTTTACAGAAACAAACTGCATATCTTGCAGGTCCAGGCAACGGAGGGGAGGAATTGGGGAGGGGCACTGAGGAGAGGATGCCTAAGCCCCAACAGCCTTGCAGCCCCTCTGTCCTCTACTGCTTTGCCCATCCACGGTGCCCAACTGCTGGAGCCCCGACTTCAAATTTCCAAAACGT